GGGGAGTTGGGGGGAGAGAGAGAGGGGGAGTTGGGGGGTGGTGGGGGATAGTAGGGGGGGGACTCGGTGTGGAGAACTGTGTCTGTTTGTATGCATTGACAGACTGTAATTTGATCATTGATTTCCGAAAGAACAGGACTCTCACTCCGTGTCTTTGCTCACCCACAGCGTTGGCAATGCCTGACCACTCCAGTGTGGGGCTCACATCACCTGCAGTACATGAACACAGAGACATCCTCCAAATTCTTGCCACCAGAAGGGCAAATCCAGGGGCACAAAGAGAAGGAAACAACCATCTAGCTGCCCTGCAGAGTGGAGCTCTCTCCTGCATCCCTCAAATCGAAATCCCTTCACTGCTCTGCCAAGTTCTGTCTGTGATTTTGCATATCATCGATTCCCATTCAGATTTCACATGCAAATCTTCAGGTGTTTTGTACAGAGTGTAGCTGTGAATGTCAATGTAATGGATGTCTATTTTTTTTTCGGATGTATTGTTTGCTTTGTAAATATGCACGGTTTTAGGAAACTGCACTGTGACCAGGCACAGCAACGGGTGTTAGAAATGCTGAGGTGCAGCCTCCCAAATCTCAAATGAAGACCAGCCAGTGAGCCAACAGCATACTCTGATCCTCATCATCCTTTCCATTCACATTGGCCTTTTCTGGGTAAAGCAAGCTGGTGTCAACATTGGGCTCGAAATGAAAAGGCCCGATCCATCTCAGGAGGAGCTCACCAGGGAATGGACCGTACTCAAGGAGGGACAGAGAGAGAGAGAGACAGCGCGAGAACAAGAACCAGCTACACCAGAGGGGGAGGAACAAGAGAGCAGAAGCTCAGGATGTGGACAGGAAGTTGGCGATTGTTCTCCGGAAGAGGTTGTTCACACACAATTTGAGGACTGACTGCACAGTGTTGGCAGGAGGAGTTTTCGAGCTGGTACACTGAAAGAATGAAGATTGCAACAGCATGCGATGAGGAGATGGGTACCAATCTCCGGTCCAGTTTTTCACAGTTTGTAACATCATTGACATTTCATGCTGCAAGTTACTCAGGTCCCTTAGTTGTTTCCTCTCACAGTTGGCTTGTGTAAATGGAGAGAGGTGTAGGATATGTCTGTGCTGTTTATGAACAGTATTACACTTCAGTCATGGCTCCCTGCACCACCTCGATTCATTTTGACTCAAGCTTTTAGAAGTTGTATAAAAAAAAACTTTCCATTTCTATTGCACCTTTCATAGTCTCTAGACCTTCCAAAGAGCTTCAAAGCCGTGAAGTATTTTGCAGTGTGTCCGTTGGTGGAGTGAAGGAAAGCTGACAACACAGTAAGATCCCACAAACAAAAGCATGATAAAGTTGTGTGTCATGTAAGGGATAAACACTGGCCAGGATATCTTTGAAAAGTGCTCCCTGATCTTTCACATTCGCCTGACAGAATGTCAACTTATTATGCCATCCCAGAATGTGGAGACCAGAGCGGGACTTGAACGCTCAGACTCAAAGAGGAGAGAATTTCCCATGAAGCCTGAGCCACACCTCACTACAATTGCCCTTGGACCTTAGCTGTCTTTCAAGTCGAGCCTTGATTATTGATCAGTTTATTTGACAGGAATACTAGTTAAATATACTTTCGCATTAATGATTCAAACTCCCCTCATACTGTCAGGCAGACAGACAGAGGAAGAGCTTTCTGAAGGTTTTCAGCAGGATGTAGGGACTGCAACAATTGGAAAGCAGCCAATGTGCCAAAATTCCTCATGACCTCAATTGGTAAAATGAAAGGAGTCGGGCTGATAAATTGTGTGAGGAAATCAGGTTAGGAGTAGGTCTGATTGGGATTCATTTGTACAACAGTATCAGACTGGAAACCATGTCTTTCAAAAGCAGAAATTGAGTGATACAATATGGGCATGAAGGTGTCTGGGGTAAACACAAGGGTTTACACTCCCTGAAAGAGTTTACACTCTCTTTCATTTTCACACATTTGCAGGTCATTTACTGAACAAAACAAAATTGCTCCAGCTTAAAAATGCAATAAATTTTAGAACATTGGTGTGAATTTGTTTCTTGATTTTATCAAGATTTGCATCTTGGCTGGGCCCAGCATTTATTGCCCGTCCCTAGTTGCCCCCTTGAGAAGGTGGGGGTGAGCTGCCTTCTTGAACCGCTGTGGTCCATGTGCTGTAGGTTGACCCACAATGCCCTTAGGGAGGGAATTCCAGGATTTTGACCCAGTGACAATGAAGGAATGGCAGTATATTTCCAAGTCAGGATAGTGAATGTCTTGGAGGGAACTTGCAGGGGGCTGGTGTTCCCATGTATCTGCTGCCCTTGACCTTCTGCATGGAAGTGGTTGTGGTCATTTGGAAGGTGCTGCCTGAGGATCTTTGGTGAATTTCTGCAGTGCATCTTGTAGATGGTACACACTGCTGCTACTGAGCGTCGGTGGTGGAGGGAGTGGGATGTTTGTGGAATGTGGTACCAATCAAGCGGCTGCTTTGTCCTGGATGGTGTCGAGCTTCTTGAGTGATGTTGAAGCTGCCCCCGTCCAGGCAAGTGGGGAGTATTCCATCACACTCCTGACTTGTGCCTTGTAGATGGTGGACAGGCTTTGGGGAGTCAGGAGGGGAGTTACTCGCCGCAGTATTCCCAGCTTCTAACTTGCTGTAACCCCCTCAGGCAATGCTCATCAATCTATGTCCCTGTGATCACTCAGAGGTACCAAGAACTGCAGATGCTGGAGAATCTGAGATAACAAGGTGTAGAGCTGGATGAACACAGCAGGCCAAGCAGCATCAGAGGAGCAGGAAGGCTGATGTTTCGGGCCTAGACCCTTCTTCAGAAATGGGGGAGGGGAAGGGGGTTCTGAAGTAAATAGGGAGAGAGTGGGAGGTGGATAGAAGATGAAGAGAGGAGAAGATAGGTGGAGAGGAGACAGACAGGTCAAAGAGGCGGGGATGGAGCCAGTAAAGAGGAGTAGTTCCTGATTTACAGCATCCGCAGTCCTTTCAGTTTTTATTCAGTAAAATAGATTGTCTCACATGAAATTCTGGCAGCAGGAAGAGAACCCAAGCTTTTAGCTGTAACAGAGAGAGGAATAAGAGCTTCCACATCCAGCTTCAGGACTCCAGCAGGTGCTAAAACTAACCATCATGGTTGTGTGGGAGCTTGACCACGACCTATTCAGACTATTTCTATTGTTCCAACGTTAAAAAAAACCCTCAAGGCCTCACAAGCTGTTTATTGTCTTTAAGCTGACTGTTCATCACCTCTGACTCAAACTTTCTTCAGACAAAACCCAGGACAAAATACACCTCTCAAAGTCAATGTATCATCATTCTGCAGTAAGACCTGCTTGTGGGGAGCAGAATGCTGCCCTGTCGGAGGGTCAGTGCTGAGGGAGTGCCACACTGTCGGAGGGTCAGTACTGAGGGAGTGCCGCACTGTCGGAGGGT